TAGTAGAGATGTTACCTTTGATGAATCTGCCCTAGTAAAGAAGGTAACAAGTGAAGCTGTCCAGACAAGTAGTACTCCGCAGCAGGTGAAGCATACTCCAAAACAGGTGGAGTTTCAGCAGACGATGATCCCAGAAGTTGATGCAGCTGATTCTTCAACTCCAATAGAAGAATCAGAAGATGAAGAGGTTCAAACCCAAGAGCCATTAGAGACACCAGAACCACTTGCAGTTACAAGGCCAAGGAGAGAAATTCGTAGACCTGCTCGATTTGTTGATATGGTGGCCTATGCTCTTCCAGTTGTTGATGATGATATCTCTATCACTTACCAAGAAGCAATACAAAGCTTAGAAAGTGATAAGTGGAAAAGTGTCATGGATGAAGAAATGCAATCTCTCCAAAAGAACAACACTTGGAAACTGGCACAATTACCGAAAGGTAAAAGAGCCATTGGATGCAAGTGGGTATTTGTAAAGAAAGATGGATCTCATAACAAGAAAGATGTTCGCTACAAGGCACGGTTGGTAGCTAAAGGCTACGCTCAAAAGGAGGGAATCGACTACAATGAAGTATTTTCCCCTGTTGTGAAGCAGTCCTCCATTAGAATATTGTTGGCCTTGGTAGCACAGTTGAATTTGGAGCTAGCTCAACTTGATGTGAAGACGGCTTTCTTGCACGGTGATTTAGAAGAGGAGATCTATATGACTCAGCCAGAAGGATACAAAGATGGTGGTTGTGAGAAATGGGTTTGTAAGCTGAACAAATCGCTATATGGATTGAAGCAATCTCCGAGGCAGTAGTACAAGCGATTTGATAGCTTTATGAGGAGGCAAAAGTATACTAGAAGCAAATATGACCATTGTGTGTATTTGCAAAAGCTCAAAGATGGATCTTTCATTTATCTTCTCTTGTACGTTGACAATATGTTGATCGCTTCGAAGAGTCAAAAGGAGATAGACAAATTAAAGGCTCAGTTGAATCAAGAGTTTGAGATGAAAGATCTAGGTGAGGCCAAGAAGATTCTTGGTATGGAGATAAGCAGAGATAGACAGAGAGGGAAGCTTTTTTTTAACACAAAAGCAGTATCTGAGAAATGTATTACAATGTTTTGGCATGAATGAAAATACCAAACATGTAAGTATCCCATTGGCTTCTCATTTGAAACTTTGTTCTCAAATATCTCCTAAAACTAATGAAGAATGAGTGTATATGGCAAAAGTTTCATATACTAATGCAGTTGGGAGCTTGATGTATGCAATGGTGTGTACGCATCCTGACATTTCACAAGCAGTTGGAGTTGTGAGCAGGTACATGCATGATCCTGGAGAAGGATATTGGCAAGCTGTGAAATGGATTCTACGGTATCTCCAACAAATCGTGGATGTTGGTTTAGTTTTTGAACAGGATGAAGCAATTGGTCAGTGTGTGGTTGGATATGCTGATTCCGATTATGCTGGTGATTTGGATAAGCGTCGATCAACTACTGGGTATTTGTTTACTCTTACTAAAGCCCCAGTAAGTTGGAAGTCTACATTGCAATCTACGATGACCTTGTCTACTACAGAGGCAAAATACATGGCAGTTTCAAAGGCTGTAAAGGAAGCAATTTGGCTTAACGGGTTGATGGAAGACTTGGGAGTTGTTCAAAGTCACATTAGTCTCTATTGTGACAGTCAGAGCGCTATTCACTTAGCAAAAAATCAAGTCTACCATTCAAGGACTAAGCATATCGATGTGAGGTATCACTTTGTGCGGGAGATCTTTAAAGAATGAAAGATTCTACTTCAAAAAATTGCGACATCAGAAAATCCTGCAGATATGATGACCAAGGTGGTAACAGTAATCAAGTTCAATCATTGTTTGAACTTGATTAACATCCTGAAAGTATGAACACATTCGAGTGTGTGGCGCTTGTGAGCGCAATTAGAAGCACTACAAATTTGGGGAGTTGAAGAAGTTGAGTAGGCTTGGTAATTTCAAGCCAAGGTGGAGATTTGTTAGATTTGTCTAGAAATTAAGTTGATAAGTTGGAAATTTCATCTTGGTTGGTGACTAACTTATTGGAAATTTCATCTTGGTTGGCGGCCAAACTTTGAACATGTGAATTTCATATTTAGTGGCTAACTTGTATACATTGGAAAATTCTTTGGTAGGTGGCCAAACTTTGAACATATTGTTCTTAAAACTCAACTATAAATAGGCCTAAGTATTTCTATTAGAAATCATCCCAAAACAAGTTCTTTCCCCCTCTTGTATTCTTGATTCTCCCACTTTGAGAATTCTAAAGAATTCCATTTGTTGTAATATTGGCGGTATAGTGAAGTTATCATCCGGTGTGGTGCCCGAGGAATAGACGATATTCTCGTCGAACCTCGTAAATTTGGTGTGTTCTCTCATTTATTGTTTTTATTCGGTTCTTTTCCATTGTGTTTCAATATTCAATAGTTTGACAGGTTTATCTTCTGTGCAACCTTTGGTGGTTTTAATCATGACATTTTAAGTCAATTTTAAAACTACGTTCGTGTGAGAAATAACCCGTTTTCCCCAACAAAATCTTACTTTGTTTTTTTTTTTAAAAAATCAATACATAAATATTAATATTATTAATAATTTATTTTTTTAAATAAAATCTTAATATATTATATTTTTGAGTTGCTCACGAGCTTTTCGAGTTAAATATCGAGTAGCTCGTATCAACTCGTTAAGAACTCGAGTCGAGCTCGAGTCGAGTCCATTCGATCCGAGTATTTATCGAACCTTGATCGAGTTAATCTCGAATAACTCACGATCTATCTCGTATCATTTACGACCTTAATTTTCACTAATTTTTGTTTTCTGTTGTCATATATGGCGGGTTCGAAGACGAAGGCCTTTTTAAAACCCTTTTATATTGGTGATTGTGATGCCTTTGATGTTACGGGTAATAATAGCCTTAGACCTGGGATTTTGACCGTCTCAAAATGACTGTAAAGCCCTTGGACGTATGATAATATAGGTTCAACCAAGAGGGTAATGAGGGCTTTTCCGTGTAATTACGTTGAAGAAATTACGGGGTTGTCACGTTGTATGAGAATATTTTTTTTGATAAACAAGATGCTTGATTTTATTATGAATTATTCTTTTCGTGCAAGACAAATTATGGGGAGGAGAAAAACGATTTTTTTTATAATTCGAATGAGAAAACAATAAATTTATGGTAGAATTGGATTTTTTAAATATATATCAATATTATATAATTTTTTCATCTATAAATTAAGAATTCATTCTTTAAGAAGTGAAAAACATGTTTGATCGCTTGAATAATGGTTTTCTAACACTGTCGAATATTTTAAAAAAATCCATAAAAATGAGCTTATGTTGTAATTCAATTTGAATTTTCGGAATAAAATATATATTAGAGGAAAAATGCTCTACATATGGTCTCCATCGTACACTGATTTTGTATAATCTACTTATATATATTAATCTAGAGTTGTTTTTGACAAATACAGATTCCTTTTAAAGAAGAATAAAAAGGTTAAATGATGGACATTTAATAAAATTTTATGACACATTGATAGGGATGGGCATGGATTCGAATCCGACCCGACCTGAATGGGTCGATTTTTTTTATAAAAAAAAATTGGTTCGGGTCGGGTCGGTCGGATTTTTTAAATATGATGTTCGGGTCGGGTTGAATTCGAGTTTATGGTGAAAAGTATTTGGCCCAATCCGAAAAAATATAATTTTATCTTATATATTTATGAATAATTATAATAATACTCCTTTATATATTATTTTTTTAATTAAATCACTGTTTTTATTGAATAAAAATAATATTTTTATTATTATTTTGGTTCGGGTGAGGTCGGGTTCGGATTTTATCTCTAAAAGTCAGGTCGGGTAGAGGGTGTATATTTTTTGGGTCGGATCGGGTGGATTATGTAGAATAACTGCTGACAGTAATATTTTTGTTGGGGCTTGCAGATGGGAAGTGGTAGGATCCGAAAGTGGGATTCAGTATGGCCCATTTCCAGTTCCTGTGCAAGGACTTCCCACGAGATTTTGGAAGGAATCTACAACATAAAAAAGGCAGGCATGGATGATGGGTGTGGATTATAATAACAGCAGTAATGCAATTCTCCCCTACAGTAAAAAAAAATTTACTGGCAGTTTCCAGTTTTCTTGGAATAGCAAGTTGTTTTCCCATCCATCTCAGTTTTGAGTTCATTCTCATTGTCATTCAAAGCCCTTCTTTGCTATTTTCTCTTTTAGTTGTAGTACCGGAATTGATATTTAGGGTAATCGAAAGGCTGCCATTAGCAAACAAATAGTATTCCAAGTTTCACATTTATCTGCAAATCATTTTCAGAAAGGAGTAAACATCATAGCTTGCCGTTTTCCGTAAATCATGAGCACACCTATTGGAGCTCTCTGTCATGGGCCGCAAAGGAGACACATTTCAAACAACCATAGGCTAAGTTGGAATAGATGATGTCTCCGGTAGGTGAGCATCCTGTGAAGGACACCCAAGCTTGCAGATCACAGTTTGTAGTGTCTTCCCTTCTGGACCCTACTAATTAGATGTGGATACCAGAGCTTGATAGCTTTTATTCGATTTTCATTTTAATCATTACCAGACAACACCTACTCTGGCTGGCCATGATCTTTTTAAGCATATTTTACTGATGTAGTGAATTCAATACCATAACCCTGCTTAGTCAATCAAGGTCGTAAATTGTTTCTTTTTTGTCTTTTAATTCTACCGCTTGCCTGTTTAACCACACTTTTCAATCGTTGCCATTGGAAAATCTTTATTCAAGACAGACATTGAGCCTAATCATCATGCACTGGCCTGGTAAGTGGCCAGGGAATATATGATTTATATTTGAATCGTGTCACATTCCTGGTCATCTAATTCTGGATATGCCATATCTAAAAAGCTTCTTATTCTTCAGCAGATATATTCAAAGCATATAACTCAACAGGCAAAGCCATCGATCATATAGGGCGAAACAATGGGGACAAGATGAAATCAGTTTCACTTTCCAAGTAAATCCTGTAAATAATGATTACAGTAGTAATATGTTCTACGGATGTAGTCCAATCTATTCCAAGTATCTTACTGATTATTTTTCTGCAAAAGCAAAGTTTGAAAAGACTGGCCACCTTTGCTTAGGCATCTTCATTTGTCGACGTATATTTCTTAATGGCTTCAACAATTCTCTCCTTGTCTCTGGTTGGAAATGCTTCCAAGAGAACTCCATTTTTATAGAAGTGGAAAAGAGGCACTGCCTGCAATAATTCAGATTCATCTTATTAGTATACACTGACACATGGCAGTCATCTTTGTGCATTAGGATGCATCCACAAATCCCACCCTGATTTTTTTAATTGATATAAAATAGACCTTCCCAACAGATCAAAATTGTTTTCTCCACAAATGAAGATTTTTTTTACTGGGTTTCAGCTATTATTAGATCATCTCTGCGAACAAATTGTCATGATGCTCAATTCCCCATAACAAACTTGATTCATCTTAACAAATAAATGAGTCAGTATTTGATGGAATGGGATTAAATGTTACCCTGATTCTAAGTCTTTCAGCAACTTCAGACTGCTCATCATACTCATCAACTACCTGCAGAAGAAAATATATAACAAATAAGAGCTCATGTTTCATCGTTCCTGCTCTTAATTCTTAAACAGCAGCCCTGAGTTAGAAAATGGGATAGATGCATCAACATAATCTGTTCAAAGTTCGGGCCATATAAAAGATACTCACATTATGTTTCAAGAAGATCACGTCAGCGTCTTCATCACCCGCACCCTTGCATAATTTCGAGAAACCTTGCTCTATGTACTTACAGCTTCCGCAAGAAGTACGATAAAAATCAACTACAACTAAACAATTGGTGTCTTTGGCCTTTTCAAGAATTTTTAAGAACTCTTCATCAGTTTTGAATTCTCTAACACAGTCCACAGGGCAGATATCGTCGTCTTCCTCAGATAATTCCCCTTGATTTTCATCAGCCGCACCTTTTATGCATCTCCGTTGTAATGTGGGGCTAATTTCCAAAGAGTCCAAGCTCGCACTTAAGGTTACAGATTGCATTTTGTCTCTCAAATGGCAAAAAATTACATGATTTGGATGATCATGTAAGATGGGGAGGGTACAAGCAATTCTATAATTGAGTTGTCCATACATATTTTTTCTGAAAAAGGAAGAAGCATTACAGGAGAGAATGTTCTGCTTTAGCATCACTGCCTGGAGCAATCTCCACCAAAAAATATAAATGAAACCACACAAAATGTATGAATATGTAGGATGAGCTTCAGATTATCTTTCAAATTTCCCTTGTCCCTTCAATGGTTATCACTCAGACTGCCAACAGTAGTTCACTATAAACCTGTTGAACCCAAAAGAAGAAGAAGAAGAAGAAGAAGAAACAATTCTATAAATCTATATATATGAACACAAACAAATAAACCGTCAGAATTTCTCCAAGATTAAAAGTTGTGTTCTTTTTCTAAAGAAATAACCCACCATGGATTCATGCTTACAGTTACTCAAAAACTGAATGATAAACAAAAGTAGAAGGTTTACATGTCTTTCTACGAAACTCTACAATCTTGAACTAAAAGAAGCAATATCCATGCTCCATTTACACCCAATCCCAATTTTCTTATCTTCCTTCTGTTTTCTTTCTGCTAAGCAAAAGCATCCTAAAACTAATCCGGTAAAATATTTATCATTTTATATTGTTCATAGGATACTCTCGAGTCCTCACAGATTTGCTTGAAACATAAACAACGGGGAAACATGTTTCGACAAGAACAGCAAGCTAAATTAAGAAACTGGGTAATAAAACTGGAAGTTTTTGCAAAGGAGACTGTTGATCATATTACAAGGAAATATATTAGAGAACAGCAGCTTACCTGGGGGCAGTTGAGAATCGTGAGTGGAGACATAAGAGAAGTGAAGAAACTTCGAATGAGAAACGGACACGCCAACACCATATCCGCTTTTCAAGTTCCAGACTCTATCCAAATATCCCTTTGTAATCTAACCATTGTTGTCCCTTATTATTTGTCTTAGTGGGACATCATTTTGTCCCAAATCCAATCCCAAATGTAATTATTCTTACAAAATCAAACCGAATTAACATGTATACAGTTTCCGGTTCTCCAATTAAATTGGAACCGTCGTTTCCTCTTTTCTACTTAATTAATATGATTGAGACCATTGATAGAATCACATTATTATGCTTGGTCTTAGTGCACACCTAAATCATCTACTAATTAGTACTAAATAATAAGTAAAATGAGGTCTCGAATGAGAAAATAATTTTGGGTTAGCCCATTGATCATAAAATATCAAAACCCAAAGCCTGAAGGCCCAGAAGCCACCTTCCATAGGAAAACTGAAAAAGCAAGCAACTGTGAACCAACCCACACAAAAAATGATTTTTTATTGGAAACAACGTGTCAGTTTTGATCATATCGCCTGGAAAACAGTGTCGTTAAGAAAAATAATTTATTCAACCGTAAGCCAAAACCAATTTCCAGTTTCTTCTTTTTCTTTGATTTCTCTTACTTTGGTGTAACAATGGCGAATACTGAGTTGAAATCTGATAATCTGTTTGAGATGATGAAGGGTCACTTGGCTAGTGATGCTGGTAAAGAGCTCACCAAGAAGATCGGCCTCGTTTACCAAATCAATATTGCCCCCAAGGTCCATCCTTTATGCATTTTTACCTCTTTCCCCCCAATAAATTTCAATTTGATTTAATGGCTTGATCTAATTTCTGGGTTTTGTTTATGACTGGTAGAAAATCGGGATTGATGAGGTTTCTTACGTTGTTGATCTCAAGAAAGGAGAAGTTACCAAAGGTTAGCCTATCATATGTTTAGTAATTCAATTTTATTCTTTTCATTTTCAGTTTGCTTTCGTTTTGTATTTGAAGGGTTTGTTTATGACTTTATATTGCTCTGCCCCCTGATAAAAATATAGCTATCGAAATTGTTATGAAGGAATAGAGTTTGAAGTTTGTATCTTTTGCATTTTACAATCTGGAGAAGTTTTGTTACTCATTTATTGGAATTGAAATGCTTACTTGCAGGTATCTTCCCTCTAGTCCATTTCTCTTTGCTAACTATAATATAAGATCTGTAGCCTAGGCTCTTTCTCTGCCTTTTTCCATCGTCTGTATTTGGTTATTAACCTCTCCCTCTATGTGACAATGGAGAGGAGGCGGACCCATTTCATTAGTTCCATAGCTTCACCATTTTACTTATTTATTTATTGACATGGTAGTAAAGGTCCATAATTTTTTTTCTCAGCTTGAACTGTTTACCATTACTAGTTTTTCGAAGGGTGGAAGGGTTACCTAACTCTCTTTAACATTTGCGCTATTATCTTATGTTAAAGATAAAATTTTCTCTGTTTCAGTATGTTTTTGGCAATTTGAGATTGGTGGCATGACTGTTCTATTTGTATATGGTCGGTGTTTATCTTGGTGACCTGCTCTTGGAGATTCAAGTATGATTATATCCATTCATAGATATATACAATCAAGTCGGCCTTCCTGTTTCATTTGTAAAATGCTACATTTTTTCAGTATAAAGATGTTCATTATCCTCTCTCTCTCTCTGAAAATGTAGGTAAATATGAAGGGGGAAAGCCTGATGCTATTTTTTCCTTCAAGGACGATGATTTCATAAAGGTCGCCACCGGAAAGATGAATCCCCAGATGGCTTTTATGAGGTACAATACTCTTATTTCTTTATCTTTGCCCTCTAATATTATTGATTTCTTTTATCTTTGAGGATGGCGGGTTTCCAATGTCGAGGATTTCCTTAATTAATACAATCATGATGCAGGGGTGCAATGAAGATTAAAGGGAGCTTGAGTGCAGCTCAGAAATTCACTCCTGACATTTTCCCAAAGCCTGCAAAGATGTGAGCAGAGATGCTAATATGTTATGTATTTGTTCTCTGTCCACTTGCCAGAGTCTGAATATTATAAAATGAAGCCATCTGCTGTTCTCTCAACTGTTTCCTTTCATAGTAGACTTCACTTGATCACCGCCTTATATACTAGATTACTAGATAGCAAGGAATATAATCATAAGGATTCGGACTATCGAACGACTTCAATATGTTCCCTTTTTTTTCCAAGTAAATCTATATGCTTTGTTGGATCCACTGTTACCATTTTTCTCAGGCCACTATATGTGATCATATGCTGCTTTTGTTTTTCATGCTTATGTGCTGTTCCCATTGATTCTGTTGGCAAATTTTGATGCTTATTTGAGTCTTACGGATTTTCCGTTGAAAATTTAAAATTATTATATATTTTAGATTTTTCAATGTGTTTTTTATTGAAAATCTATTTTCGTACCCTTAAAATTTTATAAATTCGTATCCTCTTAAAATTTCAGAGGTTTGGCCTCCTATCATAAAATTCTACGTCCGTCCACGAGAGAGGATGCATTTGCGTCCGTCTACTTGAGATGTTGCATTTGCGTCCGTTTACGTGAGATGTTGCATTTGTGGCCCGGTTGGGGTCCAACCATGTATCAAGAAGGTTCAGATAGGTTTGAAGCCTGCCAAATTTAAGTCCTTGAAGGCCACAAGCACCATTTAATATTTCTGGTTTTTTGATTACCACGTTTTTGTGGCATTTGTTTTGCTCTTGTTTAAAAGTGAAGCGAAATCCCACCTACTTTTTAACAAAATAATTCATTTCTATAAAAATGCCAATGTTTCACCACCTTTTCTCTCTTCTTCACCGTTGCTTATTTTTCCTTCCTAAATTAAAATGGTTACACCAAGTAATCTATGCTCTAGATGCATAATGATAGCATTCATTGAAGGAATTCATTCAGTTGAGATAAAAGCTATAGGAATAGGATCTTTATTTAGCCAAACTGTAGCATTTGATTAAATTATAATTCATCCTCATCGTTACTATTTAGGGTAAATTACATCAAATACCATCGAACTTTATACGTTGTATTGTTTATACCATTAACTTTCAATTATGTCAATTACAACACTGAACTTTGATTTTCATTTGAATTATACCACTGAACCATTAAATCGTTAACGGCACGATGACGTGGTTGCCGGCTGTCGATATAGTCACCTTACCAAAACGACGTTTTAATCCAATTGTTAACGATTTAACGACACAGTGGTATAATTGAAACAAAAATCAAAGTTCAGTGTTATAATTGGTAAAATTTAAAGTTCAATGGTATAAATGATACAATACCCCAAGTACAGTGGTATCTAGTGTAGTTTACCCTTACTATTATACTATATTTTAGAAAATGTTCAAGTGGAAATATATTTTTTTCGAGTTTTAGGATGATTCCACTTAAAATATGTTTAAATATAGTATAATAATATTTTCCAAAATAGTGGAAACACCTTTAAGCCTATTGAAAATATATTTAAATACATATATTGATTTAAGTGGAAATGCAAACAATATTATGAACTCTCAATAATAGTTTTCCCCTCCTCAATCCTCATATCCTAGAGTTGGAATCTCCTTGTACTAAAAAAAGAAAAGCATACATTACGTATATTGCTTTCTTTTCTCGTGTGAATGAAGGTTGGCCGCAATTTCTTCGTATATGGTCCTAATGATTATTTCTTTCCATCGGTCCTCAAACTCAGAACCTTCTCATGGTATCCCTGGATGTTATTTGCTGGTCTATATGTGCGCCAAAAAGGATTTCATATGGTATTTTCTTGTCATAAAAAGATGTATTTTTGCAGTTTTTACAACTTGCAAGTTACAACGTGATTTGTGCGTAGCCAAGAGAAATAATTTTTACGTGAAGTAGACGATGAGAATTTCGTGTGAGAATAGAGATTATTCCCATGTAAAGTATGAGTGTCCCACACCAGAAATCTGACTCGAAGGGGCTTGCCTGATTGGGCATTCCCCTTTGGAGTGTTGTGTGAAACCAAGAATGTAAGAAGTGTCTGTTTTTGGATTCAACTGATTTAGTTCCCGATGGCAGATCAAGTCATTGTCCCACGCACCATAATGCATGCGCTTCTACACCAGTATCTGCCAAATAAGTGTTGTCGTAACCGTTTTTCGTCCGGGCACGAAATATTTATTTAGCGGGGAAATTGATGTGAATAAATGGTTTTGAAAATAATTTGGGAGTCGCCATCGTCCTTTTGGGTTAGGTAGGTCGAATACCTAAAAATTATCTTTTAAAAGAGTTTTAAGAAAACACCAATTAAAAAATGAGCTGATCTGCGTTTATAACCAAAAATTCGTTCTTTTTAATAATAAAAAGGGATTCGTGGTCGGCTACGTTTAGGGAAGGATTAGCACCCCTACAACGCCCAAAATTGGTACTTTTTAATTATAAATTGTCTCTAGTATTAAAATTTTAAAAATTCAAAAATATATTTAATTTATAATCCTATTATTTCAAAATTATATAAATAATATTTATTTATTTAAAAACATCAGAAAAGAACTTAAGATAGCTCTTTCCTTTGATATTGATAAATATTAATTTAAATACTATTGTTTAATTTAAAATACCAGAATAGGACATCCAGTTGTATTGAGACTGTCCTTTTCTTCGATATTTTAAAAAAAAAATATCAAAATAATTTATTAAATATATATAAATAATTATTATATATATTTATAACTATATAATAATAAAAGTATTTAAATATATAGACAAATAAAACAATAAAAATACAATTAAAATGATATATTTAAAAATAATAAAATAGATGAAAACATTTAGAATTAGTGACTAAAATATAGTAAAAGTAAAATTAAAAATCTAATTCATAATTAATCAAAATATTAGGGATTAAACATGCTATTTCTTTATTTTATTTATTTAGTGACTAAAATAAACTTATTTAAAATTCGAATATCAGATTAAAATAAATTAAAAATATAAACTCAGTATTAAAATATTATTTATTAAAATTAAGGGACTGAATATATTATTTATCCTAAATATTTAAACATACAGGCTAGGACTAAAATGAAATAAAATAAAATTACGAGACTTAATTAAAACATATAAGAATTGATTTTAGTGACAAAAATAGAAATTTACAAATCTAGGATGACTATGCGAGAGGTTTGACCCGTGTGCGAAATTACAGATATACCCCTGCCCAAAACGGCGTCGTTTGGGAGGGGTATATATGATCAAATGGCTGGCCCGTAGGGCCAGCATCCCTCATTCTCTCTTCTTCGTCTCTCTCTAACCGAGAGAGTTTATAAAACTCTCTCGCCTCTCTCTAACCGAGAGAGTTTCCGGCCGTCGCCGGACACCGTACTCCGGTGTTGGTCTCCACCGCCGGCTACCACACGCGGTGGCCGGATTTTTCCTAAAGACCTAAAATAAAGACCCGAACCTCCCAAGGCCGAATCTGGCCTTGGTTTGCCCTAAAAAGCTCTGGATCGGAGCAGATCTAGAGAAATACCTTTGGGTATTTCGAATGTTTCCTCGGTACGTAGCGTCTCCGGTTACCTTGTGGTTTCCTCGGTAAGTTCTTTCTCTTTTCTTTCTTTCTGTTTTGTTTGCTGCTGAGGGTTGTTATTATTTTTTTCTTTTTTCTTTTTTTTGTTGTCGTTCTCTGCCGTGTCTCTCCGTGGCTGTCTGTTCTTTCGCAGGTATGGTGGCTTTTATAGCCACCACGAGGTTCTGTTTGGACCGGTCCTGAGAGGGATGTCTAGGTGAGTCACCATAGCTATGCTGGTGACTCACCATGGAGCTCGATTTGGGCTGCCATCTGGTGTTCTGGAATTTACGGCGGTGAGGTGGCGTGGCAAAAGCAGCGTCGGCAGCGACTGGTTGGACCATCTGGCAGTGGAGGCGTCGGCAGCAGCGTCTGGAAGCTGGAGAGGCAGCTTGAGCCTTCTGGAAGCGGCGGCTGGGAGCTAGATACAAACCCTAAATGGGTTTAGGGTTATATTTTGGGCTTTTGGGTTGGGCCGGATTTGGCCCGTTTGTAATAATAATTAATAATAATATTAGTAATAAATAATAAAATTAGTAATTATAATTATAATAATAATAATTATAATAATAATAATAATAATAATAATAATAATAATATTTAAATGAAAAAATGAGTATCTTCAGCTGCCCCTCTTTGCTCATTCTTGTGTTAACAAGAATAGAGCAAAGACGAAAAGATAATAAGTTTTTCATTTGACTTAACTTGGATCATAATGGAGATATTGAATAAATTCTTCTCTCTCTCCAGATGAGTTCCTCTCATTATGAACTTTCTGCTGGGGATGATGATGACCTCCTTTTTTCTGTGATAGAGTCATTCAAAAGGTTGAATAAGCTCTTGATGAGTTCTTCTCATTATGAACTCTACCTGGCAATGTTGATCCATCAAATGATGAATTCAAGCAAAAGGTTGAACAAATTCTTCTCATTATGAACTTTTTCTAGAAAGGCTGATGCTAATCTATCTCCTTTCTGTGATAGAATTATGCAAAAAGTTGAACAAGTTCTTCTTATTATGAACTTCTTCTTTCTTCTTCAGATGAAGAGTTCTTCTCATTATGAACTCTACCTGGCAATGTTGATCCATCAAATGATGAATTCAAGCAAAAGGTTGAACAAATTCTTCTCATTATGAACTTCTTCTTCCTTCTTCTCATTATGAACTTTCTCTGGAAAAGCTGATCCATCAAATGATGAATTTAAGCAAAAAATTGAACAAGTTCTTCTCATTATGAACTTCTTCTTCCTTCTTCAGATGAGTTCTTCTCATTATGAACTTTCTCTGGAAATGCTGATCCATCGAATGATGGATTTGAGCAAAAGGTTGAACAAATTCTTCTCATTATGAATTTCTTCTTCCTTCTTCAGATGAGTTCTTCTCATTATGAACCTTCTCTGGCAATGATAATCCATCAAGTGATGAATTCAAACAAAAGTTTGAACAAATTCTTCTCATTATGAATTTCTTCTTCCTTCTTCAGATGAGTTCTTCTCATTATGAACTTTCTCTGGAAATGTTAATCCATCAAGTGATGAATTCGAGCAAAAGGTTAAACAAGTTCTTCTCATTATGAACTTCTTCTTCCTCTTCAGATAAGTTCTTCTCATTATGAACTTTTTCTGGAAAAGCTGATCCATCAAATGATGAATTTAAGCAAAAAGTTGAAACAAGTTCTTCTCATTATGAACTTCTTCTTCCTTCTTCAGATGAGTTCTTCTCATTATGAACTTTCTCTGGA